GTGGTGTGTGCGTGTGGTGTCTGTGGTGAGTGTGCGTGTGGTGTGTGCGTGTGGTGTGTGCGTGTGGTGTGTGCGTGTGGTGTGTGCGTGTGGTGTCTGTGGTGAGTGTGCGTGTGGTGTGTGCGTGTGGTGTGTGCGTGTGGTGTGTGCGTGTGGTGTGCGTGTGGTGTGTGCGTGTGGTGTCTGTGGTGAGTGTGCGTGTGGTGTGTGCGTGTGGTGTGTGCGTGTGGTGTGTGCGTGTGGTGTGTGCGTGTGGTGTGTGCGTGTGGTGTGTGCGTGTGGTGTCTGTGGTGAGTGTGCGTGTGGTGTGTGCGTGTGGTGTGTGCGTGTGGTGTGTGCGTGTGGTGTCTGTGGTGAGTGTGCGTGTGGTGTGTGCGTGTGGTGTGTGTGTGTGGTGTTTGTGGTGAGTATGCGTGTGGTGTGTGTGGTGTTTGTGGTGTGTGCGTGTGGTGCCTGTGGTGAGTGTGCGTGTGGTGTGTGTGTGTGGTGTTTGTGGTCAGTGTGCGTGTGGTGTGTGCGTGTGGTTTGTGTGTGTGGTGCCTGTGGTGAGTATGCGTGTGGTGTGTGTGTGTGGTGTGTGTGGTGAGTGTGTGTGTGGTGTGTGTGTGTGGTGTGTGTGGTGAGTGTGTGTGTGGTGTGTGTGTGTGGTGTGTGTGGTGAGTGTGTGTGTGGTGTGTGTGTGTGGTGTGTGTGGTGAGTGTGTGTGTGGTGTGTGTGGAGGGGAAGCGGTTGTGTTAGCGATTTATCGCGCTGCGCTACGAACCGGGGGGACCCGTGTTCGATTCCCGCTCACGGACGATTGTCTGAACCGGTTCTGGGCCTCCCCTAGGTCGACTCGGCCTCAAATGAGTACCCGGTCCGGTGTGCAAACATCGCCACCGGGGAGACAAAGGCGGCCGGGCGTGGCGCTGGCCACCCACCCCCTCGTGTGCCACAGTGCCGGCTTTCATAGGTGCTCGCGAACAGCACTTGCCCCAACAGTTTGTTCAAACTGCACGGGAGGGGGATCTTTAATTTGTGTCAAGATCAGGCACAGACGTTTAGCAGTGTAGTGTTTATCGCACTGCGAACCTGGCACCCCCGGTTCGATTCCTGCTCGTGGCCAATTCCAGTGACGATTCTTTGAACCGGTCCTGGACCCCCCCCCCCCCTACCTAGGTTTTGATGCTCCTACTGATACTCCTGCTGTTATGGAGTGACTCATGCAGCCAGATATGGCTGCAACGTTTGGTAATACATGTTATGGATATCGTTTATTGTAAAATTTCAATCACAGTTCCTATGATCACTGTTACATTGCTTTTATAGCTTTATTTTGGTGCTTTCGAAAACGTTTTGGTTTAGCCATATTTGTTTGTTGTAGTACAGAGTTAGACTGGTAACTTTGATCTAAATTGTCGTATGGTTGTTATTGTTTGACTTGCATCCCACTAGGATTTTTGCACACAGCGTTGATATACGGTGCTTTTTATGGAAGACTTTGCTGTTTTTTCCTGGATGTTTCTGTTTGCGCGTAGTCGCTTTAAGATGTTTTCTTGTTCATGTTTTTTGTTTGTTGCGGTTGCACCCGATTGAAGAGCCGAATGGCTCACAGCGCTATACCAAATAAATGAAACTGAAAACTGAAGGTGTGTGAACATCGCCACTGGGGAGACAAAGGCATCCGGGCGTGTGCCGTGCCGGCCTTTATGGGTGCTCACTAACAGCACTTGCTTAACAATTCTTGTTGATGGCTGTAGGGTGAAATCTTTTGTCTGTTGTTGTCGCCGTTTGTGTGTGTGTGTAAAGATCACGGCCAGACATCAACACGCGAACCCTCTCTTGCGTAACACAACGAGTTTGATCATTATACTTCCCAGCAAAGGAGTATGTTTGACAAGCCCTGACTTGGTGGATGTGACCCATGATACAATTGGCCTGGAAAGGCCAAACGGCTGATGAACTCAAACATATAAAAACTGTACTTTAAATAAAACACAGAATATATAACCACGTGTGAGTATAATACAAGGGGTATAATAATCACATTGCCATCAGCCACTGTCAATCAACTGCTGGATGAAGGCCTCCATTTAGCCGTCGCCACTCCTTGACCCAAGCCCACTTACGGGCCTTAAGAGCAATCGTTTTAATTACTAGGGTGTGTTCACATATATGTAGATACTACTACTATTGTGTGTAGGGTGTGTAGGCAAATATGTAGATATTACTGACTATTGTATGTAGGGTGTGTAGGCATATATGTAGATACTACTACTATTGTATGTAGGCATATATGTAGATACTACTACTATTGTATGTAGGCATATATGTAGATACTACTGACGATTGTGTGTGTGTAGGGGTCCACTTTCTATAAGTTTTAGATTTAGACCTAAAAGGCTATCATTTAGTTGACGAACAAACGGAACGCTGGGCTTTTATAATAGACGCTACACAAAACTATCTGAGAAGTTACGTTTAATGTTTGGGATAAATCAGAGGAAACCAACATTTGATTATAAGGCGTCTCCCACCGGTCTTAATGCACTGCTGTAACGCTTGAACTCTCCTCCATGGCCCACTTGCCTGCTCGATCGCCCGTCGACGGTGACTAGATGTAATAAACATCAGTGGGGTACATATTCTTGGTTCTTTCGGTAAAGTCACGTAGAAGGGAAATAATAAAATAACAATTTTTCTTATTATTATTTTATTAATATTATTGGTTCCTTTCGGTAAAGTCACATAGAAGGGAATAATACAATAATAAAAATATATTTTTATGCTTTATTTTTATTCTTTTATTTTATTCATATTCTTGGTTCATTCGGTAAAGTCACGTAGAAGGGAAATAATAAAATAAAATATATTATTTTTTTACTTTTCCGACAGCCCTGTTCTTCACCTGAGGACGGCTGCTTGCGTTGTGACCGAAACATCGTGAGAATTGTATTGTATTGTTTGATTTTTATTATTTTATTATTTCCCTTCTACGTGACTTTACCGAAAGAACCAAGAAGATGAATCCCTGCAGTCACGAAAGCTTTAAATCATGTCTCACTTGTTTATCCATTATTTTCTCGACAACGCTCAATGATTATTCTATAGGCAGACTCGAGGAAGGTCTTCAACGGAACAGGGGCAGGAAGTCGACAGCACGGATGTCTGTGTGGCGGAAGAGTTCCAGGCTTGAGAGGGCAGCAGCGGAGATTCCACCTCCCGGCAACGATTTCCAAGATTGGTTCGATCCGGTCACGCCGTGATGATATTTATGCATCGTGAAGTCAAAAACAGCCCGTGTTAAATTGTCCACGCCGAACAATAACTGTGCGGTGCAGACATATCGAACTTAATGGACCATATCTCCGACGTAAAAATAAATCTTAATCCGAGCTCATTCCATGAGGCATGAATGCTATCAGCACACACATCAGCCACACACCTCCCTAACATAGATAAACAAACGCGAGGAGTTGGCAACGCTTATTCACTCGAGCTGAAAGCGTTTATGAATCAGCTCCGTCTGCCTCGGATGTACCGGGAGGAAACTCTGCATCTCGTAAACATGTGCTAATGTGTAACTAAACACGAGTGTAAAATTTTGGTGCTTTTAAGGACGCGTGCCCTATTGGAAACCGGCCACATCTATCACCAACAACAGCAAGGACGAATATTTGCAAATATGCAAACAAACGTGTTACCCTGCCAGACATCCTTCGGCCTCCATCCTGAAAATTAAGCAATGGAACACTTCCAAAAACAAAGCCGCACGCTGGAAAGCGTGACATGATCAATCGGTATGGCAAGAATCGTCCTAATCTTTGTTTAAATCCATTTGGGTTTCACGGCTTAAAGCGCCACCTGGCGGCCACACTGCTCCAATGCTGCTCAGTTCAAGTCACCGTCCATGAATTTCGATGTAAAGCTTCTCTCGTGACTGCAGGGATTCATCTTCTTGGTTCTTTCGGTAAAGTCACGTAGAATGGAAATAATGAAATAATATAAATAAACATAATAAAATAATTCTCACGACGTTTCGGCCAACAGTCTGTCTTCTCGACAGCCCTGTTCTTCACCTGAGGACGGCTGCTTGCGTTGTGGCCGAAACGTCGTGAGAATTATTTTATTATGTTTTATTTTTATTATTTTATTACTTCCCTTCTACGTCACCGTCCATGGTTACTGAGCTCGCAGCTTCCAATGGAGATGTGGCAACGCCGTACAGCCGAGTCGGTGTGCGCGATGCCGTGCGGTATCATTTGGTAACGTGAAATATAATAATAATGAGCCCGACCCTGCTGATGAAATTCTGAAGGTCAAAACCGGTATTTACTTAACAAGCATGCTTGTGCTGTTGGGACCAAAATATTGTCGAACACGATCCAATTTGCTTGATTAAACAAAATATGCCGCTTGATAATGTCGGTGTCATGGGACTCGTACGTTTCACCTGCATTTATAAAGACACAATGGACTTTTGCTTATATTGGCAAGTCTGATCACGCACTACGTCCATTTAGAATCGTGCAACTGTGAGCAATTATTTCCTTGATGCTAACGGTGGTAGGAGGAAGACGGCACATAGACGAGTACACCTACAAACGAGTATATGAAACAATACAAAACATACTAACCAGACCATACGAGAGCACTGTTAAGGAAACTGATATTTTCAAAGGAGACACTACAAATGAGACGGTACAAATGATACCGCAGATGAGACGAGATGAAACATGAGATCTTCATAACCTCAGCCTAAATATATCAATTCATTGTAATAATTACCCCAAATTTCTATATATGTAAAGAAAATCACTCCAAACACCAAAATAATATTTTAAACTTTTTTTTTTTATAATTTAACCATTGCAGAATTCCAAAGCATTCACATTTTTTTAAATTATCAAGCATATTAACCTGGACATACACCCACCGGAACCATCACCATCACCCATAAAACCCTATCACAAACCACGACCACCATCACCATAACCATCCATGCTGCATCCACCAGTAATGGAAGCATAACTGTGCGTGTCTGAGCTTCCATCCTTGACTCCATCATCTCCACGTGTCGTTCCCCTGACAGGAGGTATATATATTGAATTGCACTGTTATGCAACACACAGATGTGACCACGCTTTATGATAAACTCTTTCAGTGGTACGAAATTCACTTCTGGTGATCGTCAAACCACACGTAGAAGACATTTGAAAATATAACGCTAAACTTATTTGGTCATTCTCACTAATGCTATAATCAGTGGCGTAGCTATCGAGTGTGCAGGCGGTACAACTGCACCCAGGGCTCGTAGCGCCAAAGGCCCCAGGCACCAGCTTAACAAAGAGGAGTGGGGAAATGGGGGAAATTGAAAAGGGGGCTCCATTGCATTCCTTGCACCAGGGCCCATGTCAACCAAGATATCGCACAAAACCATCTCTATACAAATGATATGGCTTTCATACCTAGGCTTGCATAAATAACATTTCATGAGAATGTGTTTGTGTGTGCAGTCATTGGACACAAGGTATGTTATCACCAAAACTTGCTACACAAAAGAACCCGGTTTCTTTTCAATGTCAGGATTCCCATCCACGGGATTTTAGTGCTACTGGCTCACAGCTACGACACAGCCATTATGAGTCACCTGAGCCAACAAACCCATCTCCCGCGTGCAAGTGGTTTCTCGGAAGTGGAATGGAAGTTAAGCAGTTGCGGGAAAAAATAATAATATTAAACATCTCTGGCATGGGGGGGGGGGGCAAGGGGGATAAAGGAATGATATTGACTTCAAAAGTCAAGTCAAAGAGTCTCCATGGTCAAAGAAGGCACTGGGTGATGCTCATCTCTTTTGGTGGCCCTGAGTCAGTGGTGGAAATTCCACATTCCTATGGCCGGGCGACACTATACTCTATCACAATTGGATAGGTTGCCAAATCTCTAGTTGGGAGGTTAACTCGGCTCTTGAGAACCATCCTCACTCAGGGGTTAATAAATCCCACTATGGGAAATCAACAGTGATTTCTCAATGGACGGGTACCGGCCCACACCGATATAATACGGAATTTCCGCCATTCAAAGCCAAACCCAACAAACCAACCAACGAAGGTAAAAAAACTGCCCATCAGCTCTCGTTTGGGCAAAGAGACGCTTCTCCCTCCGACCTCATCAGCGCGACTCTTCCCTTCATCAAATCTGCAACACGAGCCCCGCGGCCGAGATGTTGTCCCCGCCGCCCACAGTCTGGAACACGTCCGTGCACACGAGCACGGGCGCGACGCACAGCTCATACGTGCGGCCGCGTCGCCCCCCGGCTCCCCGTCTGGCCCGCTTCTCGTCGTCCTCGCCCTGCACGTCGTACCCCCCGTCGGCCTCTCCCGCGTCGTGGTCGCCCATCTCCTCCTCCTCCTCCCAGCACGCCACGGGGCGGTTGGGGTCGACGGGCACGCGGCGGCTCTCGGGCCCGCGGCTGGCGGCGAACGAGTCGTCCATGATGAGCCGTGCCTTGGCGGCATCGATGTCCGCGGAGCCGCACACGTGCCGATTGGCCGTGAGCGAGGCCTTGGCGGCCGCCGACATCCCCGACTTCCAGGTTGAGTTGCGAGCCGTCATGATCGCCTGTCGCGTGCAGGAAGAGGGGCGAGGGTAAGGTGGCCGCGGTAAGGGCAAGCGTCAGCAAGGGTGGTAGCGCAGCGCGCTAACTGCTGCGCTACCGCGAAACCCAGCGACCCGTTTCAAATCCTGTTCACGGTCAACACTAGTGACGATTATCTGAACCGGTCATGGGACTCCCCTAGGTTGACTTATCCTCATATGAGTGCATCGCGTGATGTATAAACATCGCCACTTAGGCAGATAAAGGTGGCTAGGCATGGTGTGCCACTTTTTCATGTACTGTGCCAGCCTGAATAGGTGCTCCCAAACAGCACTTGCCTTCTCCGGCTGTTAAGGTTATACAGGGGATCTTCGACTTTGTCATAACTTAACCGGTCCAGGAACCTTCACCAACCCCACACTGACCAGCGCGGTCAAGTAGGTATGACACAAGACCCACAACGAACACGATTATGTGTGTGGAGAGAGGTCCACTTCCAGCAGCGGCTATACCAACGCGTGTTCACGTGCGCGTTTCCCACGAGCGCCCACCTGGAAGGCGAGCGTGTGGACGTGGAGGCGGGTGAGGAGCCGCCCGATCCCCGCGCGGCGCTGGCGGCCCCTGATGGCGCCGTACACCTCGCGCATCTGGTCGAGCACGGCGGCGACGCGGGGGTTGGCGTCGGCGACCAGCGTGACGTCTCCGCCGGCGAGGAGACCGCGAAGGTTGGGCAGCTCCTGCTCGTTCATGCCCAGCGAGTCGGCCGCCGGCAGCAGCAGCTCGTCCAGCAGCTCGGCGAGCAGCGACGAGTCCGAGAAGGACGCCATCTCAAAGTGGACGAGGGCACCGCCGCTGTCGGATGAGGAGCGGGCGGCCAACATGGAGGCGCGCACGGCCCGCAGCCTGCGCACGCGCTCGCCTGTCGTGTGCACGGGGAACATGGACGTCCAGGTGAAGGTCTAGGTGAAGATCGTCGTCGTCAAAACTTCTTGATGCCACCACACGTCAGCATCACTTTCCACCGTCTGCCGGATGCAGCAGCTATAAAACTAATTTTTTTTTTTTATTTTACCTGGTAAGGCTCACTGAGCTAATACAGATCTTTTTCAGAAGCGACCTGGACACAAATTATAGCTCAATCGTGTGGAAATTTATAGCCACCAAATTATCTAAATGCATGTTTCTAAATGTGGAGGGAAAAACCGGACACGGAGAAAAATCCACGTGACCACGGGAAGAACATGCAAACTCCAAATATACAGGCATCAGGGTCGGGATCGAACCCACAATCTCCTGTATACCAGGCAATGGAGTTAACATCTCACCACCGTGGCTACTGCAGTCATCTAAGCTTCATTTCAGCCGCAACAGTCCGGAAGGCTGTCCCAGAAATTATTTTGGCGCGCCGCATCCATCCCTCGCCTGATTTTGTCCGTCATGATATTTGTTGTCCTCGTGTGATTATAAAATATAAATATGAATCTTGTCAAAGGAGAGGGAGGGGCATGGAGTGACGCGTGAACGCGAGACACAGGAGGACACAACGGCTGAGATGGGAAAATTAATTGTGCGCAGGGGAGAGGAGTGCAACTGACCTCGCGCAGCCAGGCAGGCAGGACAGCGGGAGGAGGAAGAGGAGGAGGAAGAAGAGGAGGAGGAGACAAGAGCGGGAGACCAGAAGAGCGGCCGCCTACAGTGACACGCATGCAACGCCGCTCAAGAAACTTGCACCACCACCGCTGAACACAACAGGAAAAAACGCACGTGGGTTTGGAAAACCAGAAGCCACGTGTGGTCTGCACCGCACAAACATGCCGAGTAGGCCAAGACTTACCGGGAGGGAAGGGAAAGTTGTCCATCATCTGGAGTCCTCCGACCACAAGCAGCGCCGGCTGGAAGGCGGCGAGCTCGGAATGAAATGCCTCCAACGACTCCAGCCGGGCATTGTGGGTATCGCTGTGCACGATGAACCTGAGTGGCGGCAGCAATGCAGAGGTGGGGGCGGAGAGGGGGTTGATTTTAGCAGAGCGCGGTGATTCAATGTGTTCGTACAGCCGTCAGTCCACTGCAGGATGTAGGCCCCTCTAAGCCACTGCCATCTTTCGCAGTCATGCAATGTAAACATTTGAACGGTTTTATATTATAATGTATTTCCTGAAGTCTAAGTACTTAGATTAACTGTTATAGCTAAACGTTCTCATATTTATTAAGGTTCTGTACACTGTTTCTATTGACCCCTGAATACGTTTGCTGCATTTCTTTGTTTAACCGTGGCTCACCTAGTTATGAAAATAAAATGAGCAGGCCATGTGGTCCAGCACCATGGTCCGAATTTTCCCAGTTTGCAAATTTACTTCAATTACTAAATTGGGAAACAAATAGTAATAGCCACCCCTACTGTGAAAATTAGACTAAGTTACACATTTCTAGATAAAATGTAATCATAATTAAAATACATAGATGAATATGAATACATTTTTGTTTATCCTGTTTGCAGTAAGTCCTGGCATGGGTTTCACGTAAATAACCTTAGTTTTTTTCTTCATGTTTGCACATTCCCTCCCTGCAATATTCTGGAAATCACACCACTGCCAATGGTGTTGAGAATCTGTTCGTCTTTGTAAAAGAGCTGCTGAGCTCAGTAGGTCTTTACCAGCTGAAACAAAGTCTAAATCACGCGAACGGCAGTGGAACGGCAGATGGCAGAATTGGTAGCATAGGACAGGGGGTGGCATAAGGGGGTCAACGGAAGGGATGTGCTGCATCAATCATGCGTGCCTGTTGGCGCGCTTGGATGTGTAGTTCCCCCAGCGAGCGCCCGTGGGATATTCGAGGATCAGGTGAGTGTCGGCCTCCTCCACGGACTGCCCGGCCACTGCACATGCATGCGTGCACAATGCCCGTTACACAACGCAACACTAGCCATGCACACAACGCAACAGTAGCCACAACACCACACCAGTCCGACAACCCAATGCAACACCGGCCACATAATGCAACACCAGGCAGACAACACGAGGTTTCCACGACCGCTTTTTGCACCCAGTGCGGTTAGGGTGTGGTAAATGAAAAATATTTAAGAGCGGCCCTGCAATTGCCTGCTCACCTCAATGCTGGCAGAAAGTCCTCCGCTAGAGGGAGCTATAGAGAGCCCCTCTAAAGGGTATTTTAGGCTCTTGTTCCACACTGGGCAGACACCTTTGGAGAGGTGGGAGTATCCACATTTTAACTCGCCACACGTGACCTGCCGATAGACTAACTGTGGCGCACCCACTTATACTGCTGGGTGGACAGAGGCAGGGGGGGATTTTAGATCGAATGAACTGGCGAGTCAAGTGTGCTAAACAGTACAGCAAGGCAGCATATGCAGCGTTAACATGTGGAGTCGATTATGATTTCCACTACGAGCTCAGTATGTACCATCATCACAGACTGGATCTATTCAACATTCAAGTAGAGCGAGGTGAACAGGGCGACAACCTGACCGATCAACTCACAGACAAACCGACAGAACTGACCAATACAACAAGAGACAGACATGCCAACCAACATATTGACCAGCAGACTGACCGACTGACTCGCCGCCTGATCAACAGACAGACCGACATGCCGCCCGACCAACAGGCCGCCCCGAACGGCAGACTGACCTCGAACCTCTGGCCTCATGACCTGCAGGAGGCTGTGGGGGAGACGGGCTCCGAGCAGAACGTCGCAGCCCTCGGACGCCATGCGGTTCGCCATAACGGGGGCGTTCCCTCCGAGTGACCAGCGAGCGCCGGGCACAAGCGCCGCCTCCTCGGCCAGCCGGCGGAACAGTGACGCGTTGGAGATGAAGCGCCTTCACACGGCACGAAATCACGAAGACAACGGTCACACGTCTACACATACTGTTGGTGGCAAGTGCTGTTAGTCGGCATCTACTAAGGCCGACGTGTGATACAAAGGGGGTGATGTGGCTAGTACCATGCCCCGGCTGCTTTTGTCTCCCCAGTGCTGATGTTTACATGCTGCACTAGGTAATCATCAATGGCCGAGTTGACGGTATTGTCCATCAATCAACATGCGTCCTGTACGTAACTTTTGTTTCGCTCATAATTATCTTGAAGCCCAACTCTACAGTCATCTTTTTTTAAATTATTCTATAACAAATCCCTGTAGTTCCATGGGTTGTAATGCATATGTTATTTATATAAAAAAAAGTCTACGTACATAATTTTTCCAATTATAGTTTAAGCCTTTATTTCCCCCATCCAGTTTTCGGAAAATATCTGCCTTGAACGAGCTTGGTAAGAGCGTATCTCCCTAACTCATTAATCTTATTTGTATCTTGTTACTTTCTTTTTGCAATCTCAGCACTCGCTGTGGCATGTTTTTAAATGGTTTTGATTATTTTATGGAGACATCGTTTTACAAAGGTCTTGTTGGTGTGCGAGCCCTTTGTGGATTGCATTCGTCGGATTATACACACATACGTGGGATTATACATTGTCAGTGACTGTATTGCGATATCCGTGTTCCTATCAGCTTCAAACCGAAGCCCTTGACCCCCGGTTGCGACATCTGAAAATTCAAACCGTTAGCATGTGTAGTTTATACAAATTTACAACGCAGAAAAATTACATTTTAAGCAAAAGCAGAAGCTGCACACGCAACATTGCCAAAGAGCGGTGGCGCGCAGGAAGCTGTTTAGCGCGAAACGCGTCAAGCAGAAAACAAGATAAATATTCAGTTTAAAAAAATAAACACTCACGCCCGGTGGTATTTAAGAGCTGAGGGTCTCTTCAAGTTGGCCAAGTCACACCAGCCCATGAATAGGATTGTTATGATTAAATCTAGTTGCCAATGAATCCAGCAGCCAAACTAAAGCTACTCATCGGAGACTCCAAGAGGTTGTGGGAAATGCATCCCAATCCATCCTGTGAGGCTCCCTTGTTTTTGTCATATAAACAAGGATATTTCAGCTTGCAGATCAATATTTTCACCATGGAAAAATAGCACCCAAGAGGTTGTTTTGGCTTCAATATTTCTTTCGCAACAACACAAAGACCAGTGATCGCGTCATAGGCTGCCGGGTCAAGTGCCGTTTGCGACCAGCTATTAGGATTGCCTGGTTGGCTTTGCGTCCTAACGAGTATTGATGTTCACATCACCTTACAAAGTACTGTACCCACATTCTGGACCGAGGCAGCCAAGGTGCAGGGGCCCATGTTGTAGAGGGCAATTGGTATCACAGCCAGGAATCAAACCTTGGTCGCCAGGATCAGTGCATTAGCCACGAGGACACCCACTCTCCACTAGGAAAACGTGAGTGTTTACACGGCGCAAGTTAAATGAAACAATGCGGGGAGTAAAAAAAACCCTCAGCGCAATTACACCCCAGGGATTGGTGAATAAATGCTTCTCTTTCATAACCAGGAGCTTTGAACAAAAATAACTCGATGCAAGCATACAGTACCATACAGGGAGAACATGCAAGCACGGTGTGAGCACTAGATTGAATGGGTAATTATTGTTCAGTCAATGACATATTGAAAGAAAGGTTAATGACAGACTTCTGTGTCCGTACACAGCTTGCGCAAGAAAACGTTTAGAACTATGAGGTTCGAACCGCGTGAGGCTGGACCAACGCATCAAAGAGATCCCTCGTTTCATTTGAGTGATCCCCGTCTCATCCGCTACAGAACCCTCATTGCATCCAATAAATAAGCCACTTCTTGCCTACGGTGACATCGTATGGCTCCGACATTGATTCAAATGTTCACATTCAAATCGAAAATAGTGCATGATTGTTACGTTGAAAAATAAGAAAAAACCCAGTTTAACCAGGACTGGCTGGACCAGGATGAGAACCCAGGGTGTTGTTGGCACCAGGCTCAGTGTCTCCGAGCCACCGTGGTTTATTGGACAACAGCTCATACGCTCGTGTGTGTGTGTGTCAAGTGGTGGCTCAGTGGTTAGCACACTGCACTACGAACCTGGCTACATGAGTCACATTCCCAGCTACAGCTGAAATCAGAAGCTTAAATATGAGCAGGTTCTGGGCCTCCCTTAGGTCAATTCAGACTTAAATGAGTAGCTGCTGCAGTGTGTAAACATAAGCACTGGCAAGACAAAGGTGGCCGGCCATGGTGTTTCTGACCAAGCCATCCCGTTGTGCTTCGTGTCGGACTTCATAGGTGCTCACCAAAAAGCCTACGTAGGCTGCACGGGGGATGTTTGCGTTTGGTGGAGCGGTTTGCAATTTGCTAACCCATAACACCTGGGGTCTGTCTTGCGACTTATGGCCAGCAAGCGCTAGGGAACCATCACTTCGTGGTGAATGGTGGCTGTTGTTGTTGTTGTGTTTGTGTATAGAGAGAGGTGTTTGTATATGTAGATGTGTGTGCGAGGGTTAAACAGTCTGTTAACAGCTATTTGGGGATCTTTGCGTGTGTATGTGCGTACGTGTGCGGGGAGCAGTAGTGTAGTGGTGAGCGCACTGACCTATAAACACCGGCGACCCGAGTTCGATTCCCGCTCATGACGAAAAACTGGTGAATATTTTAACTGGTTCTGGGCCTCCCCTGGGTCGACTCAGCCCTAAATGAGCACGTGGTACGGTGTGCAAACATTAGAAATGAAAAGAAAAATGCAGCCAGGCATGGTGTTGGCCACCAACCCTCTCATGCACCATGCCGGCCTTCACAGGCACTCGCTTGCAGCACTTGCCCCAACAGTCTGTTAATGGCTAGATGGGGGATCTTTTTGTCTCTGCATGTGCATGCATGTGGTGTGCGGATGTGTGGAGAGGCTGCGTACTGTTGTGTGCATGCGCACGTGTGAGCGCGCGTGCATGTGTGTCTGCGTGCACGTATTGAGCGCCTGTCGTGTGCACGTGTGCACGTGTTGAGCGCCTGGCGTGTGCACGTGTTGAGCGCCTGGCGTGTGCACGTGTGCATGTGTGTCTGCGTGCACGTGTTGAGCGCCTGTCGCGTGCACGTGTGTGTCTGCGTGCACGTGTTGAGCGCCTGTCGCGTGCACGTGTGCACGTGTGTCTGCGTGCACGTGTTGAGCGCCTGGCGTGTGCACGTGTGCACGTGTGCGTGCGTGGGAGCTGCGCACTCTGCGGCGGCGCCGTGGGGGAAGAAGTAGGCGAAGGTTTGCGCCAGCTGCTGCTTGTCGGCGATGAATCCGTGGTGCTTGGCCTCCCCGCTCGGCTCCACCCCGAGTCGCTCCAGCAGCGCCACGCCGTCCACCACCCAGTCCAGGCAGCCGCCAAACCCTGGTGGCGCGCACACGCCGCACGCCAAACGTTCACCAGTGTCCGTTTCGTTTGTGAAATTAGTGACGAACATATTCGTAGGTTTTTTCGGTAAAGTCACGTAGGTAAAAATTTAAAATTAATAAAAGTGAAATGAAAATAAAATAAAAATCACGACGTTTCAGAGGCAACACAAGCTTCCGTCTTCAGGTGGGACCGTCACAGCACGATAGCTGTACTTGATACTGTACTTGTGTACAGTATCACGTACAGCTATCCTCCGAAACGTCGTGATTTTTATTCTATTTTTATTTTACTTTTATTAATTTTGCACCACGTGTGTACAAGCTCGCACCTCGTGTGTGTACCAAAAAAACCTAAGAATATGCATCCTTGCAGTCACGAAAGCTTCAAATCTAGAATTAGCGACGAACATATTCGCCAACCAAGTGTTCATTATTATTATTGTTTTAGTCAGAGATGGAAACGAGTGGACGGAATAATCAAGTGTGCCGATGACTACGGCTGCCCACCAACGGCCAAAGCGTGGCTATGATGAGACAAAGTCGACGAGTCTGAATGAAGATGCAAACTGAGATAATATGGTAACGGGGAACGGGGTGCACCGAGGAACGCTAAACATGGTTGTTGGCTATATATGTATATCACAAGATTTACCGAGTTCAGTGACTGGCTGACCTGATAATATTGGGGGGGGGGGGGGGGCGGTGAGGATTGTATGCCCCTGACACTAACATTTGATAACTAAGATTGGACGAAAAATTACTGCAATACACTTCACATCCTCCCATCCAGGCATAGCATCGTAGGCCCGTGTTGATGACGATGCTGATAAAGCTAAATAAGGATAACATATCAATGACTATGACCTTTAGACAAGTAACAGTTCATACCACATCCTCCGGTGATTCAATGGATCATCATGATTCAGTATCGTGATCCAATTAAAAAGAATGTTGATTTTTGTCTCTTTTTTAAATCACATTATTTTTTTCTCTCGCTCCGTTAGCTTCAATGTATTAAAAAAAATCCGCCAGCGTAGAAATCAATTCCAATCGATTAATCGACAATGCACCCCTCGTTACGCCTGCTGTAAAGCATTTAGAAACGTCAATATCAAATCCATGCTAGACAACAAGCCGCAAATCAAACCCACAACGATGTCACAATTTCGATTTAAAGCTTTCGTGACTGCAGGGATTCGTCTTCTTGGTTCTTTCGGTAAAGTCACGTAGAAGGGAAGTAATAAAATAATAAAAATAAAACATAATAAAATAATTCTCACGACGTTTCGGCTACAACGCAAGCAGCCGTCTTGCGTTGTAGCCGAAACGTCGTGAGAATTATTTTATTATGTTTTATTTGTATTATTTTATTACTTCCCTTCTACGTGACTTTACCGAAAGAACCAAGAAGATGTCACAATTGTTAGATCGTCTGTTGCCTCCACCCTGCACGACCCCCTTCTCGTGAGTGGTGGAGTGTTGACGGCACCTGGCCCCTGAACCGTGAACGCGTGGCACAAGACAAACTCCAAGGCTGCGTGTGCGTGATTCGTAATAATAATAAAAAAAACACATTATATAATCCGAAAAACACGGGCGGGTCCTGGTCCGTGTTAACTTCAGCTGTACACGTGGAGCTCTCATTCCTTGCGGCTGCCAGTCCAGGAAATAGAACACGTGCATTATATCAACCCCCATCTCTCTCCACACACACACATGCTTTGCATTAGTACACGTACAGTACAGAGTCCTTCTGTCAATCCACTGCTGGATGAGGTGCTTTCCCACACAGAGTCGGTGCCAAGGTTCGCATGACAGCTCCTGTTCCACGTGCACCTCTTTCTGTCGCAAGGGTCGAATTTAATTTCCCCTTTGCCAATGTTCACGTTTATATATTGATGAAACGCACACAGCAAAATGTCGAACATGTAACTAATACTCCAGGATAAGGTGTTGGGTCTTGCAACATCACACCTCGAAGCCATGAGTCATTTAAACGCTGTACGCTCAGTAGTGTTAACTCATGCGGTATACATTCAAGCTCCAGCCTTATAATAGTAACTGCAACCTTTCTCTAACCTTCTACTTATATTGCTTTTAAAAAACACCTGGTACTGCTTTATTAAAACGTGGCCCTTACAAACCCTAGGGAATTGTCTTGGTGATAATTGTTGGCAATGTATGTTCAACTTATTTCGCACCGTGCATAGCTAACCGTGCTGATCGGAGGTACGGGGTCAATTGTGCGAACTCGCTAAGATGTGTGGAAGCAGCATTGCTGTGCGCGCTATCATGCACACGTGGCTTGGGTCAGATGTAAAATGTGTGTCATAAGCCCTCCTCCACCCGACAGCTGGAGAGCAATCGCACAACATTTAACAATTTGGTACGACGGTCCGACGTTTCGCTGATAAGTTACAAACAGCACCATCAGGCATTTGCCAGAATCAATAAATATACACTTCGTATATTGATCCGTATATTGCATGTGAAAAACGCCGCAAAACATAACTTTCATCCCAGCCTCTGCATGTAACGATTAGCTTAGCTTCGACTGTTATTCCGCAATCCAGCTAAGTGGTGAGACTCAACAGCAGAGCGAGCGGCATTTGGAAGGTTTCGAATTTAAATCGTGGCTTTGGGGTTGACTCAGCCCATCATCCCTCCGGGGTTGATAAAATGATTACCATTGTGTGGGGAGAGTTGGGGAAAGCAACAGTGGTTGTCCGATGGATAGACTCACCACTGCCATGTGAATGTGGATTTTCCACCACCGGCTCAAGAGGACTCTGAACATGAGAAGATCATTGCCTCAATGGTAACGAGCAGGAACTAATTATGATATGTTATTTATCACATATTCTTTATTTATCACGTATGCCACGTCCCGACCAGGTGCCACACCAGGTCCAATAACACTGGTCAACAACAAAAAAACTTTTTTTCTGGCCTGGACTTTTGCAGCTGTGTTAGACTAATTTCAGGGTGCTGATTCCAAATCTGATCTCAGATTTGCTCTATCACATCTCATTTTTACGCTATCGGCATACCCCATTTTCATTGATTTAACCCGAAATTAACCCTGTCACTTATGATTGCAAGTTGTTGCGAGTCAGTGACTGCTTTGGTGTTAAAATATGGTGCTGTATTTTTAAGATAGTGTGTTTATAATATCATTTTATGTAGATATCCACATTTATTTAATATTTAATGCAATATTTGATATCTCAAAAACCTGATGTGATAGACAAAAACTGATGCCAGATTTGGAATCAGCACCCCAAAATTACCTTCAACACGTTGGAATACCTTATTCCAGAAAAAGTGTGTTGACCAGTGTTATATAATAATCAATGTTGCTATTCACTTCACTGTATAATCCTCAGCACCGCATGTAACAGTTACAGCTTGTAACTAAGGCTACCCTCCCTACCTCAGGGAATCCTACCATGCAACACGTTACATTATGAGCCAGCCCATGACCCCCAGGTATGTGTCCTGCACATACCATTTAAACTGGAAGTAACCTCACGGTACCCAGTCCATCCTTGGGGGGGTCCACGCTATAAAACAAGCGACGATTTACCATCGCTACCCCTCATCCGGGCGAAATGACGAATTGTCAGAATGTGGGGTCCAGGTATCAATCTCCTATCCAGGTGTCCCACAGATGCCCCCCTTACACCGAGGTGTCCCTCAAGTGATACCACACAGGCATCCCCTCGGTCTCCCTCGCACCCATATAGCCCCTCAGGGGAGATGTTATACCCCCATGTTCCCCAGGCACAAGTATTTCCCAGGTAACCTCTCCCAACCAGATATCCCCCTCCCGTAGCTCATACAGGTGTGCACCCCGTGTGTGTACAGGTGTGCACCACGTGTGTGTACAGGTGTGCACCCCGTGTGTGTACATGTGTGCACCTCGTGTGTGTACAAGCTCGCACCACGTGTGTGTACAGGTGTGCCCCACGTGTGTGTACAGGTGTGTCACCACGTATGTGTGCAGGTGTGCCCCACGTGTGTGTGTACAGGTGTGCACCTCGTGTGTGTACAGGGGTGCACCTCGTGTGTGTGTACAGGGGTGCACCTCGTGGTGCACACCTGTACACACACGTGGTGCACACCTGTACACACACGTGGTGCACACCTGTACACACACGTGTGTGTACAGGTGTGCACCTCGTGTGCGTACAGGTGTGTGTCACCACGTGTGTGTACAGGTGTGTCACCACGTGTACAGGTGTGCACCTCGTGTGTGTACAGGTGTGCACCACGTGTGCGTACAGGTGTGTCACCACGTGTACAGGTGTGTGTCACCACGTGTGTGTACAGGCGTGCACCCAACGTGTACAGGTGTACACCCAACGTGTACAAACTCACACCCCATGTGTACACAGGTGTGTGTGTGCGTCACCCTCCACCCCCAAACTCCCTGACAGCCCTGACACCATCCCGCCCGGGTTACCGATGGCGACGCGGGGTCTTGCGGGCCCCGAAGTCCGCGCCTCGGCCCGCAGCAGCGCCGAGAGCACGTGGTCGAGACGCACGGCGGCAGGGCCCCTGAGCGCCGCGTCCCAAGTCTCCGGCATCCACAGAGCGCCCAGCACGGCCACCACGGCCACAAAGCCACCCGCCGTGACCAGCCCGTACGCCATCCTCACCCCTGCTGTTGTTGCTGTTGCTGCTGCTGCTGCTGCTGTTGTTGTTGCTGCTGTTGTTGTTGCTGTTGTTGCTGCTGTTGTTGTTGCTGCTGCTGCTACTACTCCAGGGGCCGGTCCTTGCTGTTTATACCAGCCTCGGTCTGGTACTTTGCTCTTGGTCCCAATCTCGTCTTGGCACGGGTCTGCTGTTGAATGTGGTATTATTGGCACTGATATTGCTCCTGCTAAGATCTTGCTCCTGGTACTAAACTCGCCTTGGTGACTGGTCTGGTGTTGCTCTGGAAATTGGTCCTGCTGTTGGTCCTGATCGTGGTTCCCGGACCGCCCCCTGTGTGTGTGTGGGGGGGGGGGGTCTGGGTGCAGGTCTCAGCTGATGTGACCCAACCGGACCTGCCGGGCCACGCTATTGGTGCGTTGGCTGCTGTGAGCATTGTGACGTCACCACGGGTGCGACACGTGAAGCCGAAGACGCCATCTTGCTACGGGTGTTTTATTTTTCAATTTTAAAAGAAATTTCAATTTTAAGTTATAAATTCAAACAAACTCACACAAACACACACATACACCCGCGTTTGATCTTCCACGGAGCTCACGGTCGACCCTAAATCGCATCCGCTGCACAAACCGTGGCAGTAGATTGCGGATTATCCGATGCACAAATGGAAATTTAAACAACAAAAACACTCTCCAGCAGTAGTAGTGTGTGACTGTGGTCATCCAGATCGTGCCGAAACAACGTGTAACGACGCAATGCCCCGATCCACAAATACAAAGGCGAAGCTATCAACCCCCTCTGATCAGTGCCCTAGCTTATTACTGAACAATTCAGACCTTCATAATTGTTTTTTTACCCTTTTATCTGGCAACAAAACTGACACCTTTTTTACAAGGAGTCATGTTTGCATTGACCACAATACCTGCAGTCGGAATGCAAACAAAAACATAACTCTGATAATGTATGATGCACTGTCCTTGAAATTGATTGGTCCACACCCGAGACAGCTTTCTTTAGAGCCTAATCTCACATGGTGTTGGACCAGATGACGCAAAAATGCGCACAACTCAAGGACAATGAACCATCAGAGTATGAGAGCTCGGGGTAAGCATTTACACCATTGGAACCTCATTTGCCAGTAACAAAATGTGAAAAAAAATTTTTACCCTGTTACTGGCAAATGAGGTTCCAATGGTGTAAATTCAGACCTTTTGGTCACCCCCCACCATGCCCTTCTACTGTAAATCTCAACGTTCATCCTGCACAGTCCCATCACAAGTGAGAAACACAAACAAATAGATACAATTAATGTTTTGTGCCCGTGTTGAAACGCCTGTACGTCGTATGGACATTAAAATTAAATTTCCCTGCACAAGAATACGGGGTAAACCGTATGGGTTTACAGGTATGGTATAGTAATGTATAATGTTGTGTAGAGCATGCCTGTCAACCCCCTATCAGTGCCTAGCTTATTACAGGGCAATTCAGATCGTATTGGTCACCCCGTGCCCTTATACATATCAACGTTCAACCTACAAAGTCCCATCACAAGGAGAGAAACACAAACCAATGGACACGATATTTTATTTTTGCTGCCCGTATTGAAACGGCTGTACGCCGTGTGGACCTGAAAACTCAATTTCCCTGGACAACAATACGGGGTTAAAGGGCCGTCCATAAATGACGTCACGCGATTTTGGACGATTTTTGACCCCCCCCCCCTCGTCACACGGCGTCACAAAAAGTTAGACCCCCCCCGCTCAAATATGACGTCACAAAGCTCTGCCCCCCCCCAAAACCATATTTCCATTTAGAAAATAAAACATGCTTCAAATCGCTTTAAACTATTGTCATTGTCGTGCGTATTTAATATGGCGCTGTACTCTGATGTTGTAGGAGTGTTGTTGTAACAATTAGCGTTGTTATAACAATTCTAAATCTATTTAAAGTTGCGCATTTTGATGTGACGTCACATTACTCAAACCCCCTTCTCGTCATACATCGTCACAAATGTCTGACCCCCCCCCCAGGTGCGTGACGTCATTTATGGACGGTCCCGATCAGTACCTGATACAATTCAATTCATACTACTTGAACCGATACAAATTCCGTGTAAAATAAAAATGTCATGTATTTCTACTTTATTATTATTAACTACAAGGTTTTTATCGTTACCAATGCTTTGTAAACGTATGTGTACACGGTACGGTATTTCAAATAAATTTAAACTCATTTACAATACCGTTCTACTTCACAGTAAAAAAAATGTGGTAAGCAACAATGTTTACACATTTGGTTCAAACATTTTTGGTTTGATTCCTAAAGCATGCATTTGGTTAAGGGACAAAGCGATCACGTAAGGTCACAAAAATAAATACCTACAATTTATAAGTAACGTATCATTCTGTATCGTACATCTAATGCAATCAAGATAAGTGTAGCTACTTTTACATTAACATCGGCAGGTGGCGCTGCTTCCACGACACACAAACACAACGCTTTCATCAATAACACTGACTTCAAACAGAACAAAAAGTGTCATAGGCGACGTTTCGGGCTGTGGCCCTTCTTCACATCACATATAGAGGCCAGAGTCGTAGGAGTGAGTCGCTCAGAGAGGTATGGACGAGTGAGAAACGCCACCTATCACATTATTTTCCTTTCAAGGCCACAACGTAATTGGCGAATTAATCTATTGAGTTGTTTTATTATTTGTTCTTGTGTATCAATTTCCAACTCAGTATCACCAATTAATGTGTATCCACGACACAGCTCAGTCAAAAGTAAAATCACATTTTTATAAAGCGACAATTAAACAAGGCTCTGCTTTACCATGAGTAAAATACACATGCAGGTTCATATACTATGGTTCCTCGAGAACAATGTTACCCATGAAGCATTTGTTTAAGCGGGTAAACTCAGGATCCGTTTTGAATTTTCCACGTCTCATCAGCAGAGTGTGGCCTGTTACACAAATGCTGTTGGACAACATTGCTCCAAAGGGAGGAATTTTCACCCCAGGGTTCGTTGTGAGTGGCTCCAATAGCAACCCGGTTCATCAAGCAGCTAAACCGTTGACTACATCACACGTGACCATCGCCCGTCGTGGTGGAGAATGTAAGCAACACAAGAAATGGATCATGTCTCCTTCCCGTATTCGTCCATGCACATAAAACAACAAATAAGTATAATAATAATAGGGGTTTCCCCCTTTTTTTCTGGCAACAAAACTGAAACCTTTTTACAAGGAATCATTTTTGCATTAACCACAATACTTGTGGTCAAAAAGCAAACAAAAAACACACTCTGATAATATATGCATTGTCCTTGAAACTGATTGGTCCACACCAGAGACGGCTTTCTTTTGAGCCTCGTCTCAATTGGTGCTCGACCAGAGGACGCCAATTGAGACGATGATGCTGGATGCAATTACCAGCGAAATGTCGTACTCAAATTGTAAATGTTGTGGTTTCACGCTTCAACACACAGGTGGGCTAAAGCAGTGAACTATTTGTCTTTTGTCAACGTGACACTTTTTTACTGACTGGCCGTATCGGGTGGTGGAGGGTTACGACACATTTATAAATAACGCGATCTAAACCCAGAAACGTTATGAATAATATTGGTCGCGAAAGCCTACGTGTTAAACTGACTAACCTATTATTATATTTTGGTACTGGCAAAGGAGGTCTAATGATGAAACGAATAAGTATTTGTTTTACACGTCCCATCAGCCACAGGGCCTTGTCCCGGTACCCAGTAAACAACAACGTTGGACCAACGTTGAGTGTTCCGGTTTCCTTCGACACGAAGCCAAACACTCATTTGTAGATTTGGTCAACATATCAATGCATTCAATTCAGCTTTATAAGATAAAATACAGTATTGATATTACCATTTAAAAGTCCATACAACACATATTGCATGTTGTTTTCAGTTCTTTGCGAAGTTAACATTGAATGAAGGTCTCCACAGCTGTTTGGAGCGTGGTGATTGTTTAACTATGTATGTATGTAGAACTTCTTTCGCACCGTACGTAGCCAACCGTGCTTATCGGAGGTGCGATTCTTCACCACGCTCGTTAGCGTGGGTTTGTGAGGCTTTTCCATGGTAAATAAATGACAATCAAGTCATGATGAATAAATAAATGACAGTTAAGTCATGATGACCTCACTCATTCATGATGACGAGGATAAAGATCCGGATGGTGATGATGTAGGAGAATGAGGAAAACGATGTGAATGGTGATGAAGATTATAAGAATGATGGTGATAATGGTGCGATGGTGTAATGATGAGGACGATGATGAGGATGATCATTACGATGATGAGGGCGTGGATGAGAATGATGAGGATTAGGATGATGATGCTGATGTGGAGAATGAGGATGATGATGTAAATTATATTCTTGGTTATTTCGGTAAAGTCACGTATAAGGGAAAACACAAAAACTAATTATTATTTTATTATTTTATTGCTTTCCCTTCTACGTGACTTGAAAAAACAATAAAGTAATTATTATTTATTATTTTATTGTTTTTCCCTTCTACGTGACTTTACCGAAAGAACCAAGACTACGAATCCCTGCAGTCACGAAAGCTTTAAATCGAAAGATGTGAATGATGATGATATTGATGACAATGAGGAAGATGCTTTGGATTATGATTATGATCATAATGATGATGATTATGGCGATGAGGATGATGACGAGGGTGACAATTAACATGATGAGGATCAGGAGGAGGATGATGATGATGTGACAGTCATGTTTTGCACGGGCAAAACATGACTTTAAACCTCCCCGTCAAACCTCCTACGCATTTCACAAGTAGTACTAGTCGCATATCTGCATTTCCCATAAATATGCTAAAATTCCTCTTGATATGCTAATTATTTTGTCAAGGCGCTTTTCCTCCTCCCTCCCAGCTTAAATAGACGCTCCAAGCCTAGGACGTGTCATTCAGACTCTGTCTTATCGACAGACTTGTTCTTCACCTGACGGCTGCTTGCGTTGTGGCCGAAACGTTGTGAGAATTGTTTTATTTTTATTATTTTATTATTTCCATTCTACGTGACTTTACCGAAAGAACCAAGAAGATGTGACAGCTGTTGATTTGTTAGCTGTTGCCGTTGCCGAGGAGATGCGTCTGGGCTTGGAGCCACGCGGTCGCACCACCGCCCCCGCAGGCCGGAAACTCCCGAAGCGCCTCCTCACGTGCGTGACGCACTGCGTGTGCCACGCGGTGGACTTACATGGTCATAGGGGCCGTCCATAAATGACGTCACGCGATTTTAAACGATTTTTGACCCCCCCCCCACCTCGTCACACGGCGTCACAAAAAGTCAGACCCCCCCCCCTCTCAA